TTTTTTTTTAAGGGGCCATGCTAATCTTCTCCGTATCGTTCCAATTTTAACGGATGTCCCGAAGGGCAATTCCACCAGTTTTTCTAACGCGGCCAATAAACAAAAATATTACCAGAAAATCCGGAGCACGGCGATCCTGGTGGGGTCTTAATCTCGCGTGCACATACATGGCACAACACTAGTTTCCACGAAAGTGGACAGACTTTAGGACCAGGAAACGGCCTAAACGATAGTCACAAAATCCTGTTAAAACTTAAAACTAAATAGATCTTCTCCTCCATGAGACTCCTACTCCTTCGTCCACGTAAACCTCAAGGCTCGTCCTTCCCACATGCTGGCCTCTTGTCCCGTCCGTTCGTTGCTCACACACCACCTCTTCCAGTGCACACATCAGTTCAAACCCCGACTGTGTCATGTGCAAACCGCGACTGTGTCTCTGATACGCAGCTGAATGGGATACTCGTGAATGTGAGATGCTGGTGGGATAATTGCCCGGACGTGCTCGCGAAAAAGGCCGATCCGCTACAACATCGCACACAATGTCTTCCCTCGTACAGCGACGTCGAGAATCGTATGTTCTCCCACCCATCATCGCTCTCCTCGGCCCAATCAAATGCCATGCAAAGAAGGAAAGGAACAATCTTTGTCGGCGTTGATAACATATGTTTCATGAAAGAGAGAGAGAGAGAGAGAGAGAGAGAGAGAGAGAGAGAGAGAGAGAGGGGGGGGGGGGGGGGGGGGGGGGGGGGGGGGGGGGGGGGGGGTAGAGGGGAGGAAGAGTGAGAGAGAGCAGGCCACTTTAGCCTGTTTTGGCTGAATGTGTTCAGCGTCTTTCTTTTGCTGTATTGGCCCTCTGCATTTAGTCTCTTGGTAATCTTTTGTGGCCGTTTCATTCCTGTCACCAGGTTATACATCATCTTTCATACCGAAAATCCTCAGTGAGGTCCATTGTTTCCACTCCCTGTGTAGTGGGCCTAGCGGCGATGTCCGTGGTGCACATATGGAGACTACGGAATGGCGAAAGGTAGCGGCCTGTTGGCCTTTACCTCCATGTTTCTCTCCGTCTCTCTCTCTCCTCTTCCCACCAGCGCTGGATCGAGCGATCGGTAGTCGATGCCCCCTTGCACATCGGCGCTCCCCCCTTGCACATCGGCATAACTCGGTACTGTCGGGGGGCAGTGGTGCTTTACAATCTTACGTACAGCTATGCGACTGAGATCTGGACTGTCTGATGCCCAGATTGCCAGCACTCAAACCACCACTACTTCCTAAAGGCATGCCCATATGCAAGCCACGATTTTAGGAAACGTACCGGCCACTACAGGAGCGCCCAAATTCATCCGACTAGAAACGTTTCTACTCTTTTTTTTTCCCGCGGCCAATAGCTGGGCCAAGTACTGGTTGTTTAAGTGCCAAGTGAAAATTTTGCCAGTCAGAACAGACCCCCTCCTATTGGGACCTATAATCCCAAATCAGGGCACCAACCCCTTGCCAGTGACAACAGACCCCCTCCTTTTTTTCTTTTAGGCAGGGACATCTCAGGTTCATTCCCCGTATCTGCAGTGTTGCGGACTGGGACGTTACCTACTGGGCTAATCTTCCTTCTCTGTATCGTTCCAATTTTAACGGATGTCCCGAGGGACTGAACAGACCCCCTCCTATTGGGACCTATAATCCCAAATAGGGGCCACTACAGGCAGACTTTTATATGGGGTATGGTGGTGCACCAACCCCCCCCCCCCCCCCCCAACCATCCCTTTCTCGGCCTTTTGGTTAAGATCAATTTATTATTTTTTTTTATTAGTTTAATATCTGACCCTTTGTTCATTGGTTGAAAAAAAAAAAAAAAAAAAAAAAAAAAAAGGGGAAA